ATATATTCTGGGTGCCCCTGAGGGGCCAGGGTGCAGCCTGGGTGGTCAGACTGTGGCTGGAGGTCAAGGGGCAGGCCGTGTTGCTGGACATCCTTCTGGCTGGCTTCCCTCTTTCATAGAGTGCCCCTTGCCCCAAGGGGTAAGACCCTGAGCAGCAGACAGGCCCCCTAAATTGGCCAATGAACAGACCAGGTTTGGGAAGAGGCGTGGGGGAGCATTGGCGAGTCCCTTTCTCTGATCTTCCAGGTCCCAGCTTCTCCCTCCCAGGTCATGAGGACTCTAGATCTTCGCTTTCGGGGCTGTACAGTTTGTCTCTCCCCTGGCACCTGCTACAGAAGGACAAAAACAATCCCAGCCAGGGCAGAGTGTCAGGGAGTCCCCGCCCCTCCTCCGGTGCTTCCTCCGCCCATGCCCCTCCCTCAGGCCCCGCCCCCACCTGCCCAAGATAATTTGTTTCCTTGGGTCAGAAGCCTGGACAACAGAGCTCAACCTCCCCCAACTCCTACGTTCAAAGTCAGGACACTCTCCTACCACCTGTAGAGAAGAGGGAGGGGGTTTAAGATCAAGCCCAGGTACCTGAGGTTCCTAGACAGCGCCGGACTTCGGACCCTGTGTCCTGCTACTCCAGCTGGGGCTCCTCCAGGTAAGGGGACCGAGATCGGTTGCAGACGACAATCTGCTCCCACTCCCAGCCGCACCAGGGCCCCAGGCTGTGCCAGTCTCGGGGCCAGGAGCTGACTGGATGGCTGCCCAGGTGGGCAGGTCAGGCGGCCGCCTGGCTCCCCCTCCCTTCCCCCCTTCAGTGATGTCAGGCCAAGGGCGGGGACAGGACGGGGACAGGTAGTTAAGAGCTTGGCATCTCCCTTCCTAAACCGGTGGCCCCAGCCAGATGTGCCAAGACCCAGGGTCCAGGTAAGGACCAGAGCGCGGCACGTCGTCTTGGGGGCGGGGAGCACCAGTAGATCCAGGAGAAAGATGTGGAGATCTTTGGAGAATATGGAGAAAGATGTGGCCTGCTGCTGTGTTTCTCTGGAGACCCATCCTGCCCCCTCCTCACTATCTGCCCTCGGTCTTTCCCTGTTCTCCCCATTCCTTCGTCTCTCTCCACCCACGCCCCCCACCCCCCCCCCCGCAACAGCCCCAAACACACACTCCAGCCTGCTGATGGAGTCAGGGAAGCAGGAATCCAGATTCTCTCCTCCCTGAGACAGAGTGGATTTCCCGCTGAAACTAGCCCCTCCCCACATCCCAGAAAGAGAGCTGGGAGGGGTGTCCCAACGTCGAGGGGGCTGCCCCAAGTCCCTCCCAGGCTCCATCTTCTTTGGCCCCAGTTTGAGTTCCCCCAAGTCTTTATTAAAGACATGTCTCTGTGGGGGCAGCGGGGCACCCTCCAACTTGGAGGGCAGTAAAGGAGTGAGATTCTCTGAATTGCTAGAGCTTCGTCTCTCTGGATTGTATCCTTACTCAGCAATACAGGCTTCCCTGGTAGCTCAGCTGGTAAAGAATGTCTGCAATGCAGGAGACCCCAGTTCGATTCCATTCTTGGGTTGGGAAGATCCCCTGGAGGAGGGCATGGCAATTCACTCCAATATTCTTGCCTGGAGGATCCCCATGGACAGAGAAGCTTGGCGGGCTACAGTCCTTGGGGTCGCAAAGAGTCGGACACGACTGAGCAAATGAACTGAACTGAACTGAACTGAGCGACTCAGCACAGCGCTCCGGTGGGAAGGTGGGGGTGGGACAGGCCCCGGGGGTGGTGGGGGGGGTCCCTTTTGGCTTCAGAAAGAAGTGGTCTAGGTAGGCTGAAGGGCTAATGCTCGGGGTCTGCAGCGCAGTAGGGCCTGGGGAGAGTGGGTGCGCTGTGCGGGTAGGGGAGGGGGCAGATTGCCCGGTCCGTCTGAATAGTCTCGGGGCGGACTCGGATCCCAGTCGGGGTCTCCCTGGCTCGCTGGGGATGGAGAATGCACCTGTCTGCCGTTGCCAGGCCTTCCGACCCCACCGCGCGTCGAGAATGCCCCCTCTTGGTCCGCCTGTCCTGGACTCTGCTCTCCCCTCTCCACCCCCCCGCTATCCTGCTGGGGGGGCCCCCCGTGAAGGCAAGCAGCCTGTAATGATTAACTCCACAGACACTCTAGCATTCTTCCCGAATTAAACTTTAAAAGAGCTGCCCCCCTCATTCCCATTGGATGTTTTTCCCCTAGTGAGGGAGGGGGCGGGGCCGCAGGGTCCGGGGGCCCTCCCCCCAACTCCAGGTCAGCTAGGGGTTTCCCGCCTCCTCACCTGAGCCCTCACCCTAAGCGCTCCCCCACAGGTAAAGCCTTCCTCCTAACTAAATCCCGATGCGGGCGGGGCGTGGGGTTCCTGGGCCTGGCGGGGGCCCTCCCGCCACCTCCAGGCCCCAGCTCCAGCCCCTCCCCCCCACCCCGCCCGGCCCCGGAGGTGGCCTTGTTTTCTCCGGCCTTCTACCCTGAGCCCGGCCACCCGCCCTCGGGGCCAGCCAGGTGGGGCAAGATTCAGGAAGTAAACAAGCAGGCTGCAGGCGGGACGGCGGGAAGGAGGGTGGGGCCCGAGCCACGGAGGGAGGGGGCGGCGGGGCAGTCGCAGGAGGGAGTCGCAATACTGAGGGGACAGATTGGTGTGGGGGTCGATTTCTTCAATATAACCTTCCCAGGGCCCCAGTTTGAAAGTTTCAGGTCTCTTGGGGGTGGTGGAGGGGGCTGCCCAGGGGAGACAGCCAGGACCGCCTTCTCCCACCTCTCCTCTCTTTGGTCCTGACTCCCCAGTCCTGTCCTGCCTTAGAAGGATCTGGAGAACCTTAGGGTCTCAGAAGGATGATGGGATCTGAAAGCTAAACCCATCTAGAGTCAGCCTTCCCGCCCCCCACAGAGGCCAGACTCTAGTCTGATTCAGATCTACCCTCTCCCCTTCCAAACGCTGCCCAGATTCCCCTTCCCTCTGGGATGGGAGAGGATCCAGTCCTCCTGGTCTCAGACCACGCCACTGTTGGTCTCTTTCTTCCTGGAGCGGGTGGTTCCTGCCGCCCTTCCCCTCGTCCTCCCTGGAATGAAGTGAGCAGGGCTGTTTGCCAGAGGTTAGACAGCGGGTGGGAGTGGGGACCTTGTGTTTTGGTGTTGATGTGCTGGTGTCTCTTGGTGCTCCATGGTGTGTGGATCTTTCCCTTCCTGGCAGGACTCCCAGCCCCATCGCTGGCTCTCCCTCCTGGCCTTCCCCTGTCTGTGTCTGTCTTCCTGGGTGTCTTGACTTTCCACTCCTGCTCCTGAATATGCCTTTGATCAGAACACCCAGGAGAGTATATGAATTAGAAGGACCCTCATTTCCTAGGGGTGATGAGGATGAGACCCTCCTGGGCTAGCTGAGTCCTGGGTGCTAAGGGTGGGCAGCAGCAGTGGCAGAATGGAAGTCTGGGGGGCCCCCCCGGACAGGAGAAAGAGCACTGCATGTTTCTTTGGGTTACTTTAGGTACCCCAGGGAAACCCCTGTGAGGTCAGCTCCACTCCAGATGGGCTTCTGAATCCCGGCCAGGCTTTTCTTCTCTCCTTCCTGGGTGAGGGGGCTCCTGGGCTGGGTGGTGGCTATGGGGGGGGGCGGGGGGGGGCCTTTGCAGGTTGCACCTGGACCTGGACTGGAGGTAGGCCAAAGGTGGGGAGGAGGAGATGATGTCAGAGGAGCCTCAGCCTCCCCCCCACCCACATTTCCTCCTCCCCAATCCTGTTCTGGGGGGTGTGGGGGAGTGGAGGGGATGGGTAGAGGCAGGGTTGTTTGTGTTTCTCCTAAGCCAGGAAGTAGTGGAGATGAGTCAAGGGTGAATGGAGAGCTCCAGGCAGTGTGTCCCGCCCCACCCTGAGTCACCTGTCCCCCAAATCTCCTCATGTCCTCACTTAAAGGTTGGGGACCTGCCTCATCCTGGGTGCAGGGCAGGGGTGTGGATCTTGGGTGTCTTAGGCAAGCTAACAGCGCTGGCCCAGTATCTGGAGCACAGGAAGGGGACAGAACTGCAGGTTCTCCCAGGTCCTGCCAGGTCTCAGCCCAGCCTAAAGGGTCTTGGTTCCTGTGGAGGAGGGGCTTGTGATGCCTCTACCTGCTAGTGGCCATCTTTGCCCATCTCTTCTATCCTTGTTCTGGATCCTGTATAGTGCCTTTGGGTGATAAAACATGGGTAAGACCCTGGCCTTGCCTGGGATGGCCGGGCATCTTCAGACCAGTGGGTGGATAAGACAGGTGCACAGTCATTGGTACGGAGGCCCCAGCACACGGTCCAGAGGGAGCCCTTCAGTCTGAGTGTGGGAGATCCAGGAAGGCTTCTCAGAGGAGGTGGCTCTGGCGTTGAGGCCTCAAGAAAGTTGGGGAGGGGGAGGGGTCTAAGGAAGGCACGCAAGGTTTGGGGGCCCCAGGCTCACCTTCTGCCTCCCACTGCAGCTGAGCCAGCCTCCAGCCCTCCTGGTTCCTGTCCTTCCCCACCTCCTTCCCCCCTTCTGTGCATCACTCAGCGCTTGAGCAGGCGTTGCCACAACAGGCTCTGGCAACAAAGCGCTGGGAAAACCTGGGGCAGAGCCCGGAGGAGCGAGTGCCCCACGCTGGGAAGTGCAAGGGTGACTCTGAACCCCGGCCGTGTGTGGGTCAGGGAGTCGGTCGCTGCTGCCTGGCCTGTGGTGAAGGGACCCTCACAGCTCTTCCCCCGGGCAACCTGGGGTAAGGAAGAGCACTGGACTGGGAGTCCAAACGTTGAGTTCTGCTCCCTGACTCACCTGTGATGAGGCAGGAATGCTTCTTTCTCAGGACTCAGAGTCCCCTTTTGTAATAGGGGCTCACTCTGCCCTTCCCCAGAGGCTCCAGGGAACCCCAGTTAGGGGGGATTGAGGAGGGGCCCGATAAACTCTGAGGGGCACCCAACAGAAGGGTGAAGGAGGTTGGGGTCCCCTTGGCCCCTCTCCCCAGGACAAGGGCACAAGAGCAGCTGTTCCTCTTCTCCCTCAGATGTCATGGAGCTGGGTCTGTCTCCGCTTCATCTCAGCAGCTCCCCAGAAGACCTGTACCTGGCCTCTGGGACCCCTCCTGAGACTCCCCCACCTCTCGATGCCCCTCTGTCTGGGGAGGTGAAGAGGTCCCAGCCTCTGCCCATTCCAACTGGCAGGTAAAGTGGGGTGTCGGCCGATAGAGGGAGGCTGGGGGGAGCGGTCAGCGCTGGGATAATGCACAGAAGCTTACCATCAACTCCTCCCCTCCACCTCCTGCCCCAGGAAACTTCTTCGAGAGGAGGAGCTGCAGTCAACCTCTCTGCCCTCCATCCCCAACCCCTTCCCTGAGCTCTGCAGTCCTTCTTCACAAAGCCCCATTCTTGGGGGATCCTCCAGTGCAAGGGGGCTGCTCCCTCGAGACACGAGCTGCCCCCATGTGAGTTGCCCTGGGAAAGAGAAGGCAGGGAGCATGGGGTGCTAGGGGATGGGGCAGAGACAGTGCCGCCTTGGCTGGGTGGAGGGGATTTGGTCAAGGGTCCCAGAGGGCAGAGCAGAGGGGGCTGGGAGAGAACCAGCCTTTGCCCTTCCCCGAGTCACCTGCCATTCCTGGGTGCAGGTCATAAAGGTGTACAGTGAAGACGGGACCTGCCGCTCAGTGGAGGTGGCGGTGGGCGCCACGGCTCGCTACGTGTGTGAGATGCTGGTGCACCGATCTCACTCCCTGAGTGACGAGAACTGGGGGCTGGTGGAGTGCCACCCCTACCTAGCACTGGGTAAGTCGGGGCGCCGGGGGTTGCCTGGACCGGGAGGCAGTGCTTCACACTCCGGACTAGGCAGACGTCTCATCCAGGACGCCCGACTGCCCTCCACTGACCCCTGCTTTTTGCCCGTGACCCCAGAGCGGGCCTTGGAGGACCATGAGTCAGTGGCAGAAGTGCAGGCTGCCTGGCCCATTGGTGGAGACAGCCGCATCGTCTTCCGGAAGAACTTTGCCAAATACGAACTGTTCAAGAGCACTCCAGTGAGTGTGTATAAGCGGGGGGGTCTGGGCCTGGACACCCCAACCCCCAGCCAGATCCTCAGTCCTTGACTCCTGGCTCCTTTTGCCCCCAGCACTCCCTATTCCCAGAAAAGATGGTCTCTAGCTGTCTGGATGCACATACAGGCATATCCCATGAGGACATCATTCAGGTGAGGGCCCACTCCCATTTCATGGCCTTGACTCCCCAGGATCGCCCAGGGCTTCTTGGCCCTGAAGCTAGTGCCATCCCTGTATGGGGTGGAAAGTCCAGCACCGCCCTAAGCATCAGTTTCTTCCTCTGCTAAATGACAGTAAATGTAAACCCCTGCCACCAAGGCAGGTGCTAGGAAGGCCTGTGTGTGTGTGTGTGTATGTGTGTGTGTGTGTGTGTGTGGCCACCTCTAGGCCTCTCACCCTGCTCTCCTGTCCTCAGAACTTCCTGAATGCAGGCAGCTTCCCAGAGATCCAGGGCTTCCTGCAGCTCCGGGGGTCAGGGCGCAAGCTTTGGAAACGTTTTTTTTGCTTCCTGCGTCGCTCTGGCCTGTATTACTCCACCAAGGGCACTTCCAAGGTGAGGTCTTAAAGGTGACAGCCCCAGCCCCTCGGAGACCCCATGACTGGTGCTTCTAGGAGCTGCCCCTTCTCTGTGGGAACTCTTAGACCTTTCACCCTCTAGGCCCTGAGACCCTCAGCTATCCCTCTTCCCCTCCCAGCCTACCTGCCCCAGAGGTAGCAGTGGGAGAGGCAGGGGAACTGAGTTCAAGTCCTGGCTCTGCTTCTGTGTGCTGTGTGACCTGGGGCACTTCTCTGCTCCTCTCTGGGCCTGATCTCCCCAGCTGGCTTAGGGGGGATGGTGAGAGGGGGATAGGGTCTGCCTGTACGAAGTCTTGCTCACTTATGCTGCATAGGATCCGAGGCACCTGCAGTACGTAGCAGATGTGAACGAGTCCAATGTGTTCGTGGTGACCCAGGGCCGCAAGCTCTACGGGATGCCCACAGACTTTGGCTTCTGTATCAAGGTGAGGATCCTACCTGGGGCTTCTGAACTCCTTCTGGGACCCCAAGACTCTGCTCCCTGCACCCTGCCCTGCCCTGCCCCACAGAGATGGGAGACAACAACTGGTTCTAAAGGCAGATGTGGGACCACGCCGTCTCCTCTCCCCACAGCCAAACAAGCTTCGAAATGGCCACAAGGGGCTTCGCCTCTTCTGCACTGAGGATGAGCAGAGCCGCAGCTGCTGGTTGGCCGCCTTCCGCCTCTTCAAGGTGAGGGGGGCACTGGCTGGGGGGCTGACCCGGCTCTCGGGATCCCCGGCGTGAGGGAGGAGTGACAGTTCTGCCCCCAGGAAGTCTCTGGAATGAGAGGGCATCATCATAGCCTTGTTCTCTCAGAATCCTTGGTCCAAGACTGGAGTTGCAGCTCTGGCTTCAGGAAGCCCCTGAGCCAGGAGCAGGGATGTGGCCTTATTCTTGGGGAGTCCTGGTCTGGGCTCGGCGCCACAGTGGAGCCCCCAGCGTCTGTGTGACCTCTGGCCTTCTTTCTCTGTCCACCTCGCAGTTTGGGGTACAGCTGTATAAGAATTACCAGCAGACACTGTGCCGCCACCTGTGCCCACCCTCTGGGGGCTCCCCACCCTTGGTGAGTGTTCACAGGGTGTTGTGGGAGGGAGAGGGGAGGCACCCAGGCCCACGCCAGGGATACTGAGGTCCCATCTGACCCCTCTCCCGTCCTGTCCAACCCGCAGAGGAGTGTCTCAGACAACACCCTGGTGGCCATGGACTTCTCCGGCCATGCCGGGCGTGTCATTGAGAACCCCCGGGAAGCTCTGAGCGCCGCCCTGGAGGAGGCCCAGGCCTGGCGGGTGAGGGGGCTGCTCTCAGCTGCGTGTTTGTACTGCTCTCCATCTGGGCTTCCATGGAGCGGGAAGAGGAAAGCGAGGGGTGAGGGGAGGCACCCAGCTGCAGAAAGAGGCTCTGTATTCTTGAGGGGCTGGTAATGCTCCAGCCATGCCCTGATCCCCCGTGTCCCCCACTGTTCTGCAGAAGAAGACGAACCACCGTCTCAGCCTGCCCACCCCCAGCTCGGGCACTAGCCTCAGTGCAGGTGGGTGAGGGCCTGGCGTCCTCAGGGGTGGGGGCTGCTCTGGCTTCTCTGAGCCTTCCTGTCATGAGTGGTGAGAAGGAGGGTCCCCGCCCCAAGTGACCACCCATCTGCCTCCCCTCACCCCAGCCATCCACCGCACCCAACCCTGGTTCCATGGACGCATTTCTCGCGAGGAGAGCCAGCGGCTCATCAGGCAGCAGGGCCTTGTTGATGGGTAAGGGGCAGGGCTGGCCGGGGCAGGGCTGGCCAGGGCAGTGGACAGGGAGGAAACACGCCTGGGTCCGGGCGGCGGCCTCGTGTCCTCGGGTCACGTCACCTTGTCTCCTGGCAGCCTGTTCCTGGTCCGAGAGAGTCAGCGGAACCCACAGGGCTTTGTACTGTCTCTGTGCCACATGCAGAAAGTCAAGCATTACCTTATCCTGCCGGTGAGTGTCCCTGCTTCCTGCCCCAGAAGCGCCGGACTGCCAGCAGCCGTCCTCCCCACCCCGCCCCCAGGGTGCCTGGGGTCTCCCCTCTTTCCTTGCTTCTGCACAAGCGACGGGGACCTCAGCCTTGGCCTCCCTGACTTCCCACCCCCTGTGGCCACACCCCAGAACGAGGAGGAGGGGCGCCTGTACTTCAGCATGGACGAGGGCCAGACCCGCTTCACCGACCTGCTGCAGCTCGTGGAGTTCCACCAGCTGAACCGCGGCATCCTGCCCTGCCTGCTGCGCCACTGCTGCACCCGCGTGGCCCTCTGACCACCGCGCGGGCCGGCAACATCTCGGCCCACCCCAGGCTGCCCCCCTCCTCCGGAGCTGCCCGCCCCGGAGCGGACTCAGAGCGGGCAGGAGGTGAGGCCGGGATCATCATGAATGGCTGGGGCTCCTCTGCTCTGGTTTTCTCCTCTGCCTCTTGCCTCCCTCAGGCAGAAGGTGCTCCCCGCCCAGTCCACCCTCAACTTCTCCTTCACGGAAGGCACTGGCGTGGCCCTCTCCCCTTCATGGAGCTCCTGGGTGCTGCTCAGGGACCGGACACTATGGGAGAAATGGGGGCAGCCAGGTGGTCTTTACACCCCACATTTTGTACAGACTGAGAGGCCAGTTGATCTGTTTTATACTAGTGACAATAAAGATTATTTTTTGGTACAGCTGTGAGTTCTGTCTGGGAAGGCCCGGCTAGCTGGGGCTGGGCGGTGATCAGGAGAACTGAAAGTGGAAACTGCTAGTTGGGTTCGACTCTTTGTGACCCCATGGACTATACATTCCATGGAATTCTCCAGGCCAGAATACTGGAGTGGGTAGCCTTTCCCTCCTCCAGGGGATCTTCCCAACCCAGGGATCGAGCGCAGCTCTGCTGCTTTGCAGGCGGATTCTTTACCAGCTGAGTCAGAAGGGAAGCCCAAGAATAAGCCTATCCCTTCTCCAGCGGATCTTCCCGACCCAGGGACTGAACTGGGGTCTCCTGCTTTGCAGGTGGATGCTTTACCAACTGAGCTATCAGGGAAGCCCACCAGGAGAGATGGGCACCAGTCAAACCCTTGAGAATGTGTCAGATGGATCCAGTCCATGTGAAGCCAAACCTGGATGTTTCTTTCTTTCTTTAAAATATTTATTTGGCTGCACCAGGTCTTAGTTGTGGCATGTGAACTCTTTAGTTGTGATATGTGGGATCTAGTTCCCTGACCAGGGATCGAACCCGGGCCCCCTACATTAGCCACTGGACCACGAGACAAGTCCCAAGCCTGATGTTTCTTGAGGAGCTCTTGGTCATCAGAGAGTCTCAGTACCCAGTAGAGTCTCGGTACCACCTACTGGCTCATAGTAGGTGCCCAAAGATTGCTTGTTAAACAAACGAACGAACAGGGGACTGTCACCCAGGTGAGGCTTCCTGACAGGACCTAAAGACATGGAGGTCACTCTAACAGGGCCTGGGAGCCAGAGATGGGTCAGACAGCATCCATGTCCTCGGCAAGTCCTGGGCTACCTGGTAGGGTAATGAGTCCTGACACATAGTCCATCACCACCAAGTCACACAATGGCTCCATTAGCTTACCTCCAGTAGGTCCCTGTGTTCAACTCCTCCCCTCTCAACCCTCCTCCCTCCCCAACCCAAGATCTGCTTTCTGTCCTTATAGTTGGTTCCACTGTTTTCTGTACTGTTTGCTGTTCTGTTTTCTCCAGAAAGCCATGATGGAATCCCACAGCACTCAGCCCCCTGAGTCTGGCTTCCTTTCCAATCTGTCTTTCAACATCCAGAGTGGTATTTCCAAAATAGCACTCTGCCTGCTTCCTGCCCCACTCCCCCCACCATGCCTCCACTTCAGCCCAGATAGACCCTTCAGAGTCTGGCCTCTGCCCATACCAGTCTATGTTTCTGTCTAAGACCTTTATAGTTTCAGCTCTTATATGATGGGAAAGCTTTATAAGAAAGGTATCAGATTGGCAAGCCCTGAAATGCTTCTGAATCTTCAGATCACCAAGAGATAGAACCTCCCTCCAGACACACGAAACTCACTGAGGCATTATTTTTGCCAAGAAATCAAGCTCCCTGCATCCAATGATGAGTTTTATAAAAGATCAGAGGACCATGTGAAATGACACATGGGGATACAATGACCAAAATCCAGACTGGGAAACTACAGAACAGATAACCCAGTTTCTTCAATAACAAAAAATTACAAGAAAAGAAAAGATGGGAAATCTCTAGGTTTCAAGAAATTTAGACACTTATCAAGCAGATGTAATGTGTTGACCTATTTGATTCAAATCCAAACTAGTGAACTATAAGAAGCATTTATGAGCAATTGGGGAAACTTTGAACTCTGATGAGCTATTTGATAATATTAAGGAATTATGGTTAACTTTTTAAAGAGTGATAGTGGTATTGTGGTTATGGGTTTTTTTAAGTCTTTACGTTTAAGAGATTCATTCTGAGGTACTTATGAGTGAAATGATGTCTCAGCTTTTTTTTTAAAGAGTTTTAAAAAATGTGTTATTTATTTTTAGTTTTGGCTGCACTGGGTCTTCACTACTGTGCAAGGGGTTCTCTAGTTGCAGTGAGTGGGGGCTACTCTGGCTGTGGTGCGGGGGGCTTCTCTGGTTGCAGAGCACAGGCTCTAGGGTTCGTGGGCTTCCGTAGTTGTGGTGCCGAGGCTCAGTTACCCCACGGCATGTAGGATCTTTCTGAACCAGGGGTCCAACTCGAGTCTCCTGCATTGGCAGGCAGATTCTTTTTTTTTTTTTTTCACTTATTTTTATTAGTTGGAGGCTAATTACAATACTGTAGTGGTTTTTGCCTACATTGACATGAATGAAACCTTGGACCACCAAGGAGGTCCTCAGCTTTGTTTTTGGGGGGGGGGACTTAAAAAATTACTTCTCATGATTTTCTGGCTTCACTGGATAGTTCTGCTTTACATGATCTTGACTGGGCCACCGGAAAAGACCGGAAAACCCAAAACAGCCTCATTTGCCATGGCTGGCAGTTGGTGCTCGTGCTGTTTAGAAGTGCAGCTGAGGCTTTTCACTAAAGGTCTTTGATGCTCCTTCATTTGAATCTTGGAGAAGGCAATGGCAGCCCACTCCAGTACTCTTGCCTGGAAAATCCCATGGATGGAGGAGCCTGGTAGGCTGCAGTCCATGGGGTCTCGAAGAATCAGACATGACTGAGCGACTTCACTTTCACTTTTCACTTTCATGCATTGGAGAAGGAAATGGCAACCCACTCCAGTATTCTTGCCTGGAGAAATCCCAGGGACGGGGGAGCCTGGTGGATTGCCGTCTATGGGGTCACACAGAGTCGGACATGACTGAAGCGACTTAGCAGCAGCACCAGCATTTGAATCTCCTCCTAGGGTCTTTGAGCTCCTCACATTATAGCTTCAGATTCTAACCAAGTGCATTCTACTAGTTAGTGTTGGAGGGTCTCCTGTGGAGATGTGGGTTGGCACTGGCAGCAGCAGGCCTGGAAGGGACCCCTTGGCCTAACTCCTCTTCTCAACTTTGTGTTTAAAATAACCTAGAGGTTAGGGGAGAGAGTGTGAGCTTAGTCATGACCATGTGTTGACACTGTTTGAAGCTGGGTAATTGGTACATGCTGATGAGCTTCCCTCATAGCTCTCAGTTGGTAAAGAATCCACCTGCAATGCAGGAGACACTGGTTCAATTTCTGGGTTGGGCAGATCCGCTGGAGAAGGGATAGGCTACCCACTCCGGTATTCTTGGGCTTCCCTTGTGGCTTAGCTGGTAAAGAATCCGCCTGCAATGTGGGAGACCTGGGTTTGATCCCTGGGTTGGAAAGATCCCGTGGAGAAGGGAAAGGCTACCCACTCCAGTATCCTGGCCTGGAGAATTCCACGGACTGTATAGTCCATGGGGTCGCTTCCCTGGTGGCTTAGAGGGTAAAGCGTCTGCCTGCAATGTGGGAGACCCGGGTTTGATCCCTGGGTCGGGAAGAACCCCTAGAGGAGGAAATGGCAACCCACTCCAGTACTCTTGCCTGGAAAATCCCATGGACAGAGGAGACTGGTAGGCTACAGTCCATGGGGTTGCAAAGAGTCAGACACGACTGAACATATATGCGATTCGGTACATGAATGAGTCAGTACATGTGATTCATTCTTCCTTAATTTTGTATAAGCTTTGCCTTTGCGATTGGTTGGGCACGAGGTGGGATCCCATTTTGCAGGTGAGGAAACTGACTTCTCAGAATGGCCCCAAATCACAGTGGGAGAGCCAGGTCCTGGCTGTTCTGCTCCCCCGAGACTGCCTGACTTCCAGGTGGAATTCCTAAACCGCCGGTAGGGGATCCTCCCCTGGAGAGCCCCTCCCTTCTCTGCAGCCCTCCTGCGGGTAGGTGGTGTTGTCCTAGGGTGACTTTGAGAAGGACCAGCCACCACAGCCAGCCGTCAGGCCGGGCTTGGCAGGCCCAGTGGCCACTTGTGACCATAGCACCACAACCTCCTCTAATCCTGAGGATAGGAGAGGCCGGAGAGTCAGGCCTTTCGGACAGAGATGGGCAGACAGGCTTCATCCATGCTCAGCCTGAAACCTGCTGGGGATTTACCCTGAAGAAAGTACTGCAGTCCAGGAATGAGAGGGATGAAGATTTTCTTTCTTTTTAGCAAGATTTGAGGAGGCAGGGACCAGTGCAACCTACCACCTGCCATGGTTCCCAGAACTATCTCATCAGTGGCTAGTCCTTGGGCTCGAGCTGGCTGGTACTGGCTTATGTGCTGGCCATGGATGCCCAGGGCCAACTTCCAAAGTATGGGTGCGAGGGGTCCAGGCTGTGGTGAGAGTAAAAGGATTAGAATGAGTCACTTTTTTAAAAAAATTTGTTTATTTGGCTGGGTTCGGTCTTAGTTGCAGCACACAAGCTCTTTCCTTGTGCATGGACTTTCTAGCTGTGGGGTGCAGGCTTAGTTGCTTCACAACACGTGGGATCTTAGTTCCCTGACCAGGGATCAAACCTGTGTCCCCTCCATTGCAAGGGGGATTCTTAACCCCTGGATCGACGGAGAAGTCCCTGAGTCACCTCTTAAGCATGTCCAGGTATTTAGGCTGCATAAAGATAGGACACAGTGACCTCTCATAGCCTGAGGCACAGGACGGGAGACCAAGCCCTTCTATGTCAATCAGCTAACTGGAATATGTGAGATAGATATCATTCCCATTTTACAAATGGGAAACTGAGGTTCAAGGAGAATCCCCGCCCCCGAGGTCATAGATACAATTAGGGACTGAGGTCAGGCTCAGCC